AAATTAACTACAGTTTCACCCAGGAGCCAGAAATGCCTTTTAAATAAGCAAACAGGGAAGCTGATCCTCTACATAACCCACCTCTGAGAGCTCTCCATTTTTCAAGAGCTTCTGGTCAACTAGGGAAGCAAATGGTGGCTGCCGGCAACTCAGGGCTCCGGCCCAGGGCAACGGCCAGTGATGATGAGTGGCTTCTACCTATGGGTGGGTAAGTATGAAATGCCGAGACCAAATCCCAACCAATTCCAGAGACTACTTGGTCTTGCAGAAAAAACACTCAAGCCAATAAAAATAAATTGTGGGGGTTGGAAGAGGAACCTCACCTGGTGAGTTACTGTCTTTGAAACATGTATTTCCAAGCCATTTTTAAAACAGGAAGGCCCAGTGGGCATGCGTGCTTGTGTCTATTGTGGGGTAAGGGTGGAAAAGTGTAACGACAAAGACCATCACACTGAACCAAAGACAATTTAACACAGGACGTGGCCTGCCCACTGACATAAGGGCAGAACTCCACCACGGCAGGACCACACGGGCACAGCAGCCTAACTGTTAGCACTCAGCTGGTGGCCAAGGCTCCGTCCTCTGGTGCAGGGCAGGACTTAGATGTATGTGCCCAACCACAAGGCCTCTCACAGGGTTACGTAGCCAGTCATGGCAGATATAAATCCTGGCTGCTACCAGAAAATTCTGAAGGGACGGAGGAGACCTTTGCTATTTCTTCTACCTTGACTGCTTCCTCCAGACCCACAGGTTCACATGGGTTGGCAGGCTACATGATGAACTGGACTGACTGGCAAACAAGTGACTGAAATAACAGGTAAACTGGGAATAGATGATATTTTTTTTGTCATCCACAGGGCAGGAACTATTGTAGAGTTCACCCCTCCTGCCTTAGGAGGAGACATCTAGATACCCGCAGGTGGTGAAGTGAGACTGGGGATGAGGTCCAGAACTCAGAAGGGACAGGGAGTTATTCCTGAAGGGTTCTGTGTAATATTCTGTGGCACGTGGACAACAGAGGAGAAGAGGAAAGGAGAAGGAATGTCATCACTTAGCAGGATGATGACAGAAAGCCAGAACTTCCAACTCGAGACAGCACAGCCATGGATGGGCAGCTTCTGGTTAGGGCAGGTGGGGCTCCTAAAAGGTGCTCCAGGACTTCCTAATGCTCCTGATGCCACAGGATGATGTTTCTAGCTGAAAAATCATGTCCTGACCCTTGTGTTAAAGAGGACAGAGTTGGGAATAGTCTATAGAGTTGACGTTTACAAAATTTAAAATTGATCATCTTAAATGTCTCAATTCTACCAGGTCCATAATGTCCACTCTCTTGAAGATATCCTTTCGAGTTTTGAAGAGCCAACCCCTGGGGAGAGGCAAGATATATATCTTAAGATGAGTTTTCTTAAAGTGGTTCCTAAAACAGAACCAAGTGCTTGTTAATGTCAACATGAAGAAATAATACGTAATACTTTGTCCCTTTTGTCATCAGTAGTATGGACTGAACTGGAGCCTGTGTGTGGGAGGGGAAGTGTGTGGCATGGGGAGGGAGCAGGGGAGAGAGCAAAAACATGACTCCAGGTGAAAGCCAATCCCAAAGGATCTTGAAATACAGAAGGGAAGTCCATCATCTCACTGAAGGTGCTCATACACATCTCTGGGAAAAACCCCTAGTACACACTAAATGAGAGGAACCTCGAAGGCACTGGTGCCGGACTGCATCCACGGAAGCACCACATTCCAAAACAGGGAACTGTTTGTTCCAGGCCACAGACTCTGGGAGAAGTGGCAGAGAAGTGGCAGTTGTACACTGTTTACTGTGGGCATCTCATTAATACAAAAGGAATTCTGAGCAGAGTGAAAGAAAGAATTGAGGGGTGAAATGGACCAGGTTTTAACAGACGATTAAAACAATGATGTCTGCAGAGCTGGCCACATAAACACCCCAAACAAAACACAAACCCTGAGCGAGAAACAGGTCTAGGTGTGTTGGTAGAAAGAAAGAGAATCCCGGGAACGACTCGACAGTGCACTTATGCAGAGCAGCGGATCAAACGGAGGCCACAATCCCTGGGTGGGGCACGGGCTCCCCCACAGCTAGATGGCCCAATGGCCTCAGCCTCAGGCCCGTCCTCGTCCCTCACTCCTGAGAGTGCTCCCATGCAGACAGATTGGATCAGAGGCAAAGCAGAAGCTCCCCCAATTAAGGTGTTTCAACTTTAACCAGAAGAGGCATTTGAAAAACACATGGCAAGAGACAGTCTTGCAGTGACCTTCAAGTGACAAAAATTACCCCAGCGCCCAACAGCCCTTTCCTGAACAAACGATTCCTACTGACTGTTGAAACCTCGACCACTCTAGCTGGGAGAAAAATTCCTGAATTGTGGTCTATCCCATCATTTGGGAATTGCTGTTTCATTTCTATGAGGAGGCAGCGAAGGAGCAGTCGGATGATCCGGAGAGGAGCAGGTGGGGAGGGGCTTAGGAGGGAAGCCTCCAGGAGGAAAGGAAGCTGACAGAAAAACTGATAGAGCAGAGCGTTCAGAGATTAGGAAATGTCTACTTCTGGCAGAGTAAGGTTCGCCATGAATTAATCATAGGTACCTAGAAAACCAGAGAAAACAATAAGTTATACAAGAAGGTAAATGAAATTATAAAACTCTACATGGCTCAGCTGCGATTAATATTTATAGTTATAATAATGAAAACACTGAATATTAATATAACCCCCAATTATTACTTAATCATAATAGAAGGTGGAGGGAGGAAGGACTGAGTGTGGAGGGGGTTGGGGAATGGGAGGGAGTCCAAGTGGGGTATGGGGGGTGCGGGCGTGTGCGGGCCAGTGCCTGTGTATTTGTGGGTAGAGTAAGGGTAGAGTGAGGGTGCTTGTCAGTGTGTGTGGGGTGTGTGGGGCTACAGTGTCTATGAGTTTATGATGTTTGCATGTGGGGGGTGCAGTGTATGTGGGGGAGGTGCACGTGGATGGGGCGTGTGGGTGCAGTATATGGCTTGTGTGGGTGTGTGAGCATATATAGGGGGTGTGTGTGTGTATACAATGTATGTGGATATGGTGTCTTGTCTGTGGGCCGTGTATGTGAATGTCGACGGAATGTGTGGGATGCAGAGAAAGTGTGTGTGCGTGCGCGTGCGTGCATGCGAGTATGCACAGGTGCAAGAATGTGTGTGTATGAGGTATTGGGGCTGGTGTGTGTGCCATCTCAGTGAGTCTGTGGTTGGGGTATGGGTGTAGGTGCGTACGCAGGTCGGTTTGTGGAACAGCACACCAGTGAAATCCTCATCTGCCCAGGTAGAAAGTCAAGAGGTAACATCTAAAACTTAAAAACAAGATACAGTCGTAGAAGCACGAGGAGAAACATGGAAATAAGTAACAAAAGAAAAATCTGAAAGTCGAAAGCTGATCCCCTTGAAAAGGGGATGGGAAAGGGGCATGCTCTTCTTCATATAATTTATGTAACTTTTTGCATTTAAAAATTATAAAAACATGTAATTTTATTATATTAAGGTTAAAGCTGCACACACCCATGATGGCTGAATGGCTGAGAAGGTGCTGCAGGAGACTGAGGGACCAGGAGTGGCCTCAAGTCTCTGGCTTGGCCAGGCTGTTAGACAAGCTGTCATTAAAAGGAAAAAGAAGTGTGGCAGAGAGAGTGGTGAGCAAGGGGTCCAGGAAGTGTGACCAATGAGATGTCCAGGAAGCTCAGCATCTGGGAGGTGGGGCCAGTGGCGTCCAGAAAGCTGTTCAAGAGCATCTGGCAGCACCAGGAGATCAAAGCTCAAGAGGCTGAGAGCCGAGGACCAGGCTACAGTGCCCGATGCCCAGGCACATGGGGCAGACTGAGAACCACCAGACAGGGTCAGGCTTGGAGACTGTCAAGGGAAGCCGGAGGACAAGAGGAAAACACCCTGGAAGCCAAGGGAAGGCAAGGGAAGGCAAGGGAGCTTCAAGAAAGGGCTGGGCAACAATTTCAAACATTGCAAAAAGAAAACAGTCAGGCCCAGCGCATCCTGGGCTGTGTCAGTCAAAGATCAGCGGCACCCTCCCAAAAGCGGCTTGGTGACAGAGGAAATGGGTTGTAGGAGGTTGAGCCATGGAATAGAGGTGAGCAGGTCAGAAGGTTCTCTTAAGAATCTGGAAGATTCTGTCATAGAGAGAGCATGGGACCTAGGATGAAAGGAGAGCTTTTCTTGGAAAGTTTTCATTTCGAAAGAGGCGAGTGACTGTCTTGTGCATCTAAGTTAAGCACAAGAGACTGGAAGATTGAAAAAATAGAAAAGAGGAGGTGATTCTACCCAATGAAGTCCCAGTGGGAGGGGGAGTCATGGGTGGAGGGAGGGAAGTGGGGAAAAAGATGGCTGCAGGGAGGAGACATGGGGAGGTAGAAACGAGGCGAGCTCCCACTAGAAGGTCTAGACACATTGAAGTAGCAAGCAGCGTGGACCCAAGAAGCACCCAGAATCACTCCCAAATACAACTGAAATTTTTATAACAAGCACTTGTTTTATTCCTCTCTAAAGTTCAATTTTACTGACCAGACTTTGAGGACACAAATTGTCTACTCTTAATACTGAGCAGGACACACGATGTAGCATTTGCTATGTCAATCTGAACCAATAAATTGAATCTAAAGTATGTACTGGAAGAATCTTAGAATAGAGAATATCTTCTGTTGGCCTGCTCCCTGGGTAGTAGCTTGTGACCTTCCTAAGACTGAGCCTTCCTCCAAGAAAAGTGCTGCCAAGTTCCTTTAAAAAAAAAAAAAAGAAGAAGAAGAAAGAAAAGAAAAAGACAGAAAGGCAGGCAGGCAACAATCCCTGCACGTTCCTTCCAAAACACAAGGCTCACCTGTGAAGTCAGTAAGGAACATGAGGACCAGCTAAATCAGTAACGTCTCCCTCAAACAGAAGTCCTCAGGAGGCCTCAAGGAGGTGAACACCCAGGCCCAACCTGGGCCTCCCACGCCTGCAAGATCACTCACCTGGGTCCGTGGAGGGGCACCTGCGGATGGTGAAGATCTGCCCCAGGTCCTCATCCTCCTCCGGAAGGCCCTTCTGCAGCCGCTGCAGCTTTCGCAGGCTCTCGCTTCGCTGGTGCTTCATGGAGCGCACATGCTGGATGAGGTTGAGCTTGGCCTTGGTGGAGTAGTTGCACAGAACGCAGTGGTAGTAGCAGCTTTCACCTTCCACACCACTCTCATGCTGCTGCAGGTGCTGCGAGGGACAAAAGAGAAGGACATGCCTCGGATAAGCCACTCAAAGCCACCACTGGCATCAGCCCACACCATCCTGGTCACAGGCAGAGGCATGCCTTCAGGGGACACATCTCCAAAGCCAAACAGGACAGTCTTTGATATGGTTTAGCTGTGTCCCCACCCAAAATCTCATCTTGAATTGTAATCTGAACTGTAATCCCCACGTGTTGGGGGCAGGACCTCGTGGGAGGTGATTAGATCATGGGGGTGGTTTCCCCATGCTGTTCTTGTAATACTAAGTTCTCATGAGACCTGATAAGTTTTATAAGGGGCTTTTCCCCACTTCACTCAGCACTTCTCCTTCCTGCTGCCATGTGAAGAAAGACATGCCTGCTTCCCCTTCTACCATTATTGTAAGTTTCCTGAGACCTCCCCAGCCCTGTAGAACTGTGAGTCAATTTCCTTCCTTTGTAAATTACCCAGTCCTGGGCAGTTCTTGGTAGCAGTACAGTAATGGACTAATGTAGTCTTCAACTGTGAGACTCCTTAGAGGTGTTTTGTTTTCCCCAGAGCACCCTTCTCTAGCAGTTCTTTGAAGAGGCACAGCAAGCTGATACCCATTCCTGTCTCCCCCAAACAGCCCCGGCCATGTGGCTTTTCAGAATGTTGATAATCCTGATCACATGGGCCCTCCCAGTGCAACACTGGTTTTCCTGGCACAAGGTTAAAGGTTTCCCCTTTTGTTCTCTAAAGTGTCCTTCTCTTGTTAGATCAGGGGTTGGCAAACTACGGCCCACAGGCCAAATTCAACCCACGGTCTGTTTTTTGTAAATAAAGTTTTGTTGGAACACAGCCACGTCCATTGATTTACATACTGTCTATGGATGTTTTTGAAACATCAGAGTTGAACAGCTGTGACAGAGATGGTATAGTCCACAAGGTCTAGATTGTTACTATAGAAATGTACTAAATTATGACAGGAAAAGTTAAGCCAAACCCTGGTTCAGGTAATAGCCTCTGGTCATCCTGCCTGTACAGCACCCTAGGTCACGAACATGGAGCCAGAGCTAGTATCTGGCTTTTTCACAAGACAACTCCAGTGTCTGTATTAAAAACCACAGTCTACTGGGAGAACCCCAAATTAGGTTTTCCCCTAGATTAAAAAATGCCAGAAAAATAAATTTCTTCAGACGAGTTCCCTGTCAGTATCTCAAAGTCACCTGGCTTATCATTGGCCAATATCATCGGTAAGTTGGTGTATCAGATGGTCAGACCATCCAAATTACGTCCTCTGTTGTTTTTAGTAGACACAGTGTTGATCCCAGAGCATGGCAGCCTAAGAGCCCCCAGGAGGCAGGCACAGAAAGGATTCATGTCTGGGGTATCAGAATAGAAGAGGTCATGCAGACAGGTGGCAGACCCCAGGCTTCTGTGGCTAGGAAGACTTAAAGGCGACCTAAGAACAAAACTCATCATGTTTCTGAGTCTCCTGGGAATGTAATGAAAGCTGTGGACTCTTTTTGACTAACACAGAATGAATGTGCTCCTGGTGTAGAAAGGCCGTCTCCTTCATTTCCAATGATTCATTTTAGGGGAAGAGGGAATTCTTTTATTGGGTACACATGAAGCAAGGGAAACTCTCCCCAAAAGCTTAAATGACTGACCCAAGGTAACCCAGTTAGTTGGGGGGAGAGAGAGATGTAGAACCTGAGGCTTGTCTCCTCCAGCCATGTACCCAGCACCCTTTTGAAGGAGGAAATTCAGGTCATGTGAGTGCTTTATGTGTCCCTGTGATTACGTGTCCTTCCTTTTTCCTCCTCACCACCTGTCCTCAACCCCCAGCCCAGTCAGCCAAACCTGGCCCTTGGAGCCATGGCAGGCACACAACAAACATCTCGGAACTGCCCATGTTGCTTGTCTCCTTTCTGACCCACACTGCTTCTGTCTGATGTCTATGCCGGGATAATGGTTTCTAGTCTTGCTTGGATGTCTCATCCTTGCCCAGCTCAGAATGCAAGACACTGACGAGCTAGAATGGTTAGAATGCCGTGAACTCCACGCAATCCTGAAAATACCAGAGTGGCCCTGTTGAGTGCTTCCTATCAAGGGACACTGCCCTGAGGCTCACATACTGACATGCACACGTCCTGTGTTCACTGATCATGTGTGAAAAATCCAGAAGCACGTTTGTACTTTGCTGGAAGAAGAAACATAAATACACCAACTGGGAGGGGGGTTGAAGTCCTCAATCACATAAACTGGCTCAAGTATCCCACAGGAAATCTTGCCAACTTGTACGTAAGAATGCGGCGAGCTTCACAGGCACCAAGAGAGTACGATCCCTTCTGCCCCCATAATGGGTGATTCACACACTCAAATGCAGCACCCTGGACAAAGTAAAATTTCTACAACAAGAAAGTGTTGGAAGAACCAGTGACTTCAATCTTAACTATTAGAAAAATTACAACTGGTGATGAAAAGCTACTTTTCTGGAGATAAATTTGAGCTGCTTTTTGTTCATTTTTTATTTATTTATTTATTTGTTTGTTTGTTTGTTTATTTATTTATTTTTGAGACAGGGTCTTGCCCTGTCACACAGACTGGAGTGCAATGGCTCAATCTTGGCTCATTGCAACCTCCGCCTCCTGGGTTCAAGCAATCTCCTGCCTCAGCCTCTTGAGTAGCTGCAACTACAGGCGTGAGGCAGCACACCTAGCTAATTTTTGTATTTTTAGTAGAGACAGGGTTTTACCATGTTGACCAGGCTGGTCTCGAACCCCTGACTTCAAGCAATCCACCTGCCTCAGTCTCTTAAAGTAGCTGGGATTATAGGCGTGAGCTACTGCGCCTGACCTCTGAGCTGCTTTTTAAAAATGATTTGACTTCACTGCCTTCATGAGGTTCCTTTCAGAGGGTGTCAGGAGGATGCAATGTGCTGAGGCAGTGCTTTCTGGAGGTTACAATCCCGGGGAGAAGGCAGGCAGAAGTGAACGGAGAAGATGAGCTAGCCCACATCCCTTCCCCCAGACTACTCCACGAGGACCCTCAGAACTCAGAAGCCACAAACAGGACCAGGATATTCCAGGATATTCCATTTAGTTTGTCCTAAAACCGAGGAGCTGGAAACCTGTAAGGGAGCCAAGAACTGCTGTCTTAGGTCACCAGGACCAAAAGAATGATATTCATTAAAGCTTCAACTAAAACTGAATGAATAAAAGATAGCAGAGACAACAGCCATGAAATTCAAAGAAATACGTTCCATCAGGAGATTTTGGAGGTAGAATAAACTATGAAATCAGATCAAGAATCACTAAAGCTTTACCTCCAATCCCCCACTACTTCCCTATGAAACAGGATTTCCTCACAATAAGGCACTGAATTTCAAACACCACATTTGAATATGGATGTGTGAGAGTTCTATTCCAAATGGCTGGAGTCTTCAATCTCTGAGCCAGAAGAGAGGAATAACGTGGCCAAAAGACTTGGATGGAAATACGATGTCAAATGTCTTTTGTCCTTAAATCCATGGACTCTTGGGTCATAGGACCGTATAAACCCTGGATTGAAATAAACATCATACCGGGGACTCACACTTTAAAAAATGGATATCATAAAGATACTCTAAAATCCACTCCACACTCTAGCTCACGTTGGTAAACTACAATCTCTGACACTGCCATGAATTCTTTTGTCTGCCACTTTGAGAGCCATTTTAGCAAGAAACTGGGCATATACTAAAAATCACGAAGAAAAGAATAAGAGGAAACAAGAAAATGGAGCCATGGCTGCTCCCACCTACCCTGGTCAAGTGAACACACCTAGGGTCCTCTCCTAGAAACTTCCGTGAAAGATTCATTCAAAATTCCAGGCTTGCCTTGTATTCCAAGTTTATTCTCCAAAACACTTAAAAAAATCCAGAATGGGCCGGGTGCAGTGGCTCACACCTGTAATCCCAGGACTTTGGGAGGCCGAGGCGGGTGGATCACCTGAGGTCAGGAGTTCAAAACCAGCCTGGCCAACATGGTGAAACCCCATCTCTACAAAAATACAAAAATTAGCCGGGCGTAATGGCGGATGCCTGTAGTCCCAGCTACTTGGGAGGCTGAGGCAGGAGAATCGCTTGAACCTGGGAGGTGGAGGTTGTAGTGAGCCGGAATAGTGCCACTGCACTCCAGCCTGAGCAACAGCAAAACTGCCTCAAAATTAAAAAAAAAAAAAAAAAAAATACAGAATAAACTATATCTTGGTTGCCAAGAAACAGCTGTGCATAAACCTAATATCCCAACCCAAACTTCTGCTTGGGTCTACTGATGTCTACCTGCATGTGACAAGTCCTGTTCTCCCCAGATTTTCCAAGTGTCTTGTTATTTTTTAAGTTGTCCAACCAGAAGTAAACTGAGATCCAAAGCTAGCGGCAGGGTCCTGACCTCTGTGACCTTCTCCACATCATTCGGCCATTTCCTAGGCCCTGAGCGGCTCAACCCTGACTCTGTTGGTCAGATCCTCTCTCCCTTCCTCCCAAGTGGCACTGGCCCTATCCCCAGAATCCCACCCTTGGAACCTGCCTAATAAAAAGCAGCGGTAGGGAGTGTGCTAAGAGGCCCATGAGCACTCCACGGGGCAAGTCAGTCAGCCAAGAACATGCCTTCCCCGCAGAAGAGAGTGGATGTTTTCATTTGGAGGAGGAGGGAGAATAATTTGTTCCTGACCCAGCTAATTAGAATACCCTCAATTGGGATCACAATGTATTTAATTAAATTCACTGTAATATATGAAGAATCCACCAAGGCACAAATCCCAGTGGTGCACTCAAGAAAGGAGCTGCCTGCTTTCAGAGTTCTTGCTCTCCTCGCCAGGCAGGAAATTTTTCTCCCACGCAAATCCTGAATTCCCCAACCCCTTCCGCCTCTATCACAGAGCTCACCCGCTGGGGAGGAGGGCAACCGGGTTCTGTTTTTACTTTTTCCATTTTCTTTACTCTGTGCTCACAATTCCTACCTACTCTCCTTTGTCGGGTCA